GTTAATGCCGCGCACGTAAGCAATTTCCGCACGAAAGCGCATTCCTTGAGCCTTTAATGTACTTTTTGATGTTAACAAATTTTTGTACATTTGTTGTTGCCTGTCAACCCAGAGAGCGCTCGTGTGTGTGTGTGTGTGAGAGAGACATGGGCAGTAGCTTGAGCTGAATGCTAAACGGCTTTATGGATTAGTCGCTGCATGAGACGATGGTGGGGCGAGGTGAATTGAGTGCGAGTGATTAGAGGTGAATAATAAACAAATTAATAAGTGGCAACGTTTAGCAGCGCAATCAACAGCTGGAAAGCAATTTTCCAGTCCAACAACAAATTAGTTGTGAGCAGAGCAAAGCAATTCTCGTGGGTATGAGTGTGTAAGGCAATAAGTGAGAGACAGAGAAAGAGAGTGGGGCAGCAGGAGGCACAGGCACAGGAAGTCAACTTGATAAAGCACTTGAAGACGTTTTGCCGCACACACCCACACACACAACAAATTGCAACTGCAATTGAAATTCACGTGTGGGCCAAATCCAATTAGCCCACATAAATCGTTGGGCCAACATTTTTTTAATTAACTGCAAGTGCAGCGCGAATAAGTCAGCCGGCAAAGTGATAATGTCCAGATACAGATATATATAGCGCTGACTAGGGCCAATTTATAGCACGTGCTCAGCGTAAATTGCTCTGGCAAGGCAACAAAGTGCAAGAAGAACAACGCAACTAACTGCAAGTCATTGGCAAGCGAATGGGTGTGTGTGTGTGTGTGTGTGTGAAGCTCTTCTGATTGATGAGCGATAAGACTTGGCCAATGACTTGCGAGAACGATAGAAGTGAAGCATGAGAGTCAAGAGGTTTTCGTGTGTGTGTGAGGTGAAGCTTTATCATAGCGATCGGTAATGCCTTCACTTTGCTGTTGAGTTCGTCAGAGCAAAGCTTTATTGAGAGCTTTTATGCTTGAGAGTCATTGACTTAGCAGGCCATAAAATTAACATACATATGTATGTATGTAGGCAAGGTAATTAACGTGTGTAAGTGCGTAAGCGTGTTATGATTTGAGTTAAGCTAGCATTAAAATTCTGAGTTAAGCTCAAGAGTCAGGATTTCATTTTTGCTCATGAGACTGTGAAATGTGAGTTAAGCACCAAGCTTTTTAACAGCATAAAAATGTGAGTTAATCTTATCGAAATATGAGAACAGGCAGAAGCTTAACGAGAGCAGTTAATGGTAAATAAACTTGTTGTTTCAAGAGCTTAGCTGAAACTTAACGAGTGCATTTGTTTAAAACAGAAGCTTAACGGAAGTAAATATTAATGTCAGCTCTGCGATCTATGCGAACAGTATAAATGCGTGACGAAAATGAGAGTTTACTCTACAGTTTTCATAAAGTATGTATTCCCTTAAATCGTTAAAATTTTTCGAGTATTATATATACACTAAATTAGTAAAATTAAACAAAATTCTATCAATTTTATTTACACTTTCCAACTCTCATTCAATTAATGCAGTTTTCCAATTGCTCAAATGCCTCATCCAGAGCATTTTTGCAACCAAACAAAAGAATTTTGTTTATTGTGCGTGTGTGTGTGTTTTTGTTGTAGATATTATTAGCACATGCCACAAAGTTGCTACAAGCATGCTTGATGGCTGTTGCAGTGGCATTTGGCGTCAACAAATCCTTGAGAGCTTCCAACACACAAACACACGCACACACACAGCAGAAGTCGGGTTAATGGTGCATGAAATCGAAGCTTGGAGGCTTTCTTTCCCTCTCTCTCTCTCGCTCCACTTTCTCTGCTTTCTTTTAAAGCCAGTTAACAAACTTCTGTGCTAATTACTCAGCTGCCACATAAAGCAACCTATTTTTGTTGCTTTTTTTTGCCAAAAACTACTCAAAGGCTGTGTGTGGGCGTGGCAAACGGCACAGAAACAACATGAGCACCAACAATAATTGTTGCCAGTTGCCAGTTAACTCAGCCTTGTCACAAGAGGCTAAGGCGTAACAAGTTTGTTTTGTGCCCATTTGTTTGCCTGCAAATACCCTGTAAACAATGCAAGTTTATATATAGGAATGGGGTAGGAAAATTTTTCGAAGCAGGGAAAAATTCAGAATGTATTTGCTATGTTTAGTATTTAATATTTAATATTTTGTATTTTATATTTTATATTTTATATTTTATATTTTATATTTTATATTTTATATTTTATATTTTATATTTTATATTTTATATTTTATATTTTATATTTTATATTTTATATTTTATATTTTATATTTTATATTTTATATTTTATATTTTATATTTTATATATTTTATATTTTATATTTTTTTATATTTTATATTTTATATTTTATATTTTATATTTTATATTTTATATTTTATATTGTATATTTTTATTTTCTAGAAATGCTTCGAATTGCCTGTCATCATCAAAATATCGATTGCTTTACAGATCATTTTCTAGTCGAGCATACTCAACTCTAACAAAACTAGCTCATTGTTTGTTGTTATTATTGGTTAGCTTGTTAGCTCTTACACTAGAGTTGCTGAAGTTGCTGATGCAGTGGCCATTGCTGTTGCATCTTAGCCATTTGCCTTGCATAACTGTTTACAGTTATGCAAATGTGCCAGAGCTGCTCATAAATGCGACCATTTATGAGGTAGTTGAATTGATGCTCATTAATAACAGTTCCAAGCTCGATTCCACTCGACGATCGCTGCGAAATAATCATTTAACTTGCAGCTAAGAGGCGGAAGCAAACAAAAAACAAATTGCAAAACCAATGCAATTTTTCACAAAAGAGTGTGAGAGTGTGTCAGTGTGTGTGTGTGTGTGTGTGTGTGTGCGCCAAGACAACATCGAAAACAAATAAACGCGGCTAAAAAGCTGCGAGCTGCGAGCTGCCAAGACAAAGAGCAAACACTGTGGCTGCCGAGGAAAAACGGAAACGGAAACGCGTCGCACAAAATGTTGACGAGTGTGCGAGTGCGAGCGAGAGGCAACTAGAGCGTGTGTCTGTGTCTGCCTGTGTGGCTAGATATTTATTTCTCTATATCTGTGTGTGTGTGTGTGTGTGTGTGTGCACATATTTGCACATGTTTCGCATTTGTATTCCATGCGTTATTGAGCTGAAAATTGATGCACATTATTTACTCTATTGAATTACACATTAGCCATTGCTCTCGACTGATCCCCCCACACTTGCCGCGCCACATCGCCACCGCACCCTTGGGCTTGCCCCCCGTGAGCAATAAATAATTTGCAAAAAAAAAAGAAACAGTAAAACGAAACGAAACAACAACAAAATAAGCAAGTGAAACAAAGGCAATGCTACCCACAGCAACAACAAATTCAACGTCAAGAGACAGTGATGCTCATTTCATGACAGCTTGTTTAGAGCATCTTGAAACATGTTATCTAATACAACATACTTAAAAGATATCATAGTGCCTTCAATAAATTCATTTGCAAATGTTTTTCAGAGAGATCGTATTTATAGTTTATTGATTATAGTTTAACTGATTATGAAATTGAACTATCCACTTATTTTCTTATCACTGAACGATGATAGCGGAGTCCATAGGCAAATTATCTAAATATATATATTCAATCTATGCATTCTTGAACAATACGTTCCATTAAGCTGTTCAACGTTCTTTGGAATTTTTCAGCTGGTAACCAGAAGTGAACTAATGGGTTTCATATAACAGAATCATCGCCAAGCTGCCTAGTAAAAAAATTATTTATTTATTATTATTATTATTTTGTTACTTAAAATAATAGCTCATATTTGTGCGTGCAGCTATAAATTTAATTGAAGAGTTTTATATAGAGACCTAACTTAGAAAAAAAATGTTCCTTTATTATTTGGACTACATCCTTATTTATTTGCCCTCCTTCAGTCCATCTTGATCTAATTTACTAATTAAATGTAATTAATTTAGTTTTCAATTTCATTTTTTATCAAAAACTAATTTTTTTTTTTATATTGAGATAATTTACTTTTATTTGTGGGTATTACTTCGAGAAAATAACGCTAATGTAGCCAAACCTTCACTTAGCTCTCCCATATTTAGCTATTATATCTAGCCTTTTCTGCACTCCTCAAAAAATGGGCAGCACTGAAAGACGCCGTTTACAACTGCATCCATTGACATGCCCCTGTATTATGCATGTGTGTGTGTGTGAGTGTATGTGGAGACTCGACTCGATCCGCTGCTGCGACTGCACTTCTAGCGCCGCTGTTGCTGCCCATAAATTGCCCAACTAAATACAATTTATTTCAGCTCGTCGCTGGTGACCCATGCACTTTATATATTTATATATACATATATGCAATATATGTATATATCTTGTAACGTTCGCTGCGTGGCGTTATTTATGCGCAGCTTTCAGCATTTTTTCCTATAACTCTTGACATCTTATTTTTCTTTTCTTCTAATGGGACATCTGCAATATGAAATTTATGTTATTTTAAATACGAGTAGTTGTGGCTAGCATAACAGCGCAATCCTAAGCTGCTTTGCTAGCAAGCAGCACTGTTGAATGGCAGGGGCATGTTAACCGTTTCAGCCACTAAAAACTGTGCTACACTTTGCTACCCCTTAGCACAGACAACAGCCACCCTGAAACTGTTAAGCCAACAGGGGCTGTTATGTTAAGTGTGCAGCCTGCAAACGGATAACTTTTTATAGCACTGTTATGGCAGGAGCTCCTGCGAGCGGATAAAGTTGAATTTTATAAAATTCAATGTTAAGTTTAAATGGTAAAAATATATAAAAGTCTGGACACAATATTTTAAAGTAACTTTCATGTTTTTTAAATCATATAATGTAAATAAATTAATTATTTGCTATAAAATTATAAATCAATTTGTCCTTTTTAATTTTCCCTACATTAAATTAATATAAAGCTGTATAAATTCATTTGCCTCTAGGGCTACTGCCAATAACAAACTGTTAAGTTAACAGTCTCAACAGCTGTAAGATTCTCACGGCTGTAACTCACCACAAAACTCCTGTGCGACTGTAAACAGTCGTGCGCTCTGCCTTACAACGCTGACAGCACAGATGGGTTCGCGTCCGTGTTAATTTGTCTTGGTTCGTGTGTGTGTGTGAGCCTGTCGGCTGCGAGCGTATAAAATAACGAGTGCGCCAACTGGCGGATTTCAGTCTTCGTTTTGCCACTGAATCGTGCGGTCAACAATTTGTTCACAGCGACTGCGAATTCACGCGTTGCGTCGGCCGCGACGCGATTGGCTGAAATGAGCAAAGTAACAACAACAACAAAAACTAAATTTATTATTTAAATTTAAAAAAAAATATATATATATGTATATATATATATTGTAAAATTGTAAAAAATTTAACAAACGTGCAAATTCGAATTAAAAATCAAAACGACAACTAACATCGCGTCATTAATTGTATATTTGCCAAAATAATTCGCCTTTCGGTTTAAAGCAGCCTTTAAAGCAAAGCGCACCCAAAATTGTCGTGAGCTCGTTTTCGTTTCTGTTTCTGTTCGCTGCCGGCTTGTCGCTTGTGTTTGTCTGTGTGTGCGTGCGTGCGAGCGTACGAGCGTACGAGCGTGCCAGAGTGTTGGTGAGTGCAAAAAGAAATTGGAATATATTTCCGCCAGTGCAAAAGTTGAATTGTAACAGTAACTGAAGCTGCAGCTAAACTCGAAAGCCAGGCAAGTACCGCTAAAGAGTGAGCCGGCTAGCGAGCGACCGGTTGAGCGCTACTTTAAGAGTAACGGTCGTCGCTTTTGATTTATTTTTAGCACAAATCGCAAGGCTTTCTTCTCATTGGTTCAGGCTTCTCGGCCTCTGCAAGTATGCAACACGCAATATTTGGAAGCTAACTTTAGCTTGCTTGAATGTGTTTTTGTGTGTCTCTCTCTGCGTGTGTGTGTGTGTGGAAATTCTTTTCATCTTGGCTGGCAGGAACAAAAATATTTGCTCAACAAATATTTTCACGATGCGTTGGGAATTTCCCATGCAAATGGCCACAAAATTTAAATTAAATTTGTAAAATATATAATAATAAAAAAAGTCAAAACAAAACGCTGGCTCAGCTGCGCCGCTGTCGCCATTTAATTCGGGTTAAGGTCTTAAAAAGAAAAAAATAAAATAAAATAAAAACAAAAAGAAAATTTATATGAAGCTTTGCATGTATATACATACATATACATATATAACCGCGTATTGGGCTAACCCAAAAAGCCGCACATTTTGTTGTTGTTATTGTTATTATTGTTGTGTTAGGCAATTGTGTGAGCAGCTTTGCAGCTTCATTTTGTTGTTATTTTTTGTTACCCAGCTGCCACTTCCGCTGCCGTTGCCGTTGCGTCGGCGTCGCCGCCAGCATCGGTTGAGCTGCTGCTGCTGCTGCTGTTTCTGTTGCTGCTTTGCTCTGCCATATGCGCAGCCACAAAACTTTTGAATTTTTAAGTGGCAATTCGTGTAGCCGCTTCCTTCTCTGTACACAGACATATACAACGACACACACACATACACACACGCTCGTACAGCACACAGTTGAGGCACTTATCTGACTCTTTTAAAGCGTCGCCTTTTGCCCTCTGCCCGCTCGCTGTGTTTTGTTTTTATTTAAATATTCAATTTGGCAAGCGAGCAATTGCCGCGGGCTCCACACGAAAAATTATTCTATTCTGTTTTCTTTTTTGGTTTATGAGAATGTGGCAAAATATTTTGCAAATTTTTGAGTAAATAAAAAGTGACAGCAATTCGTCCAGTTTATAAATGACTTAAAAGTGCTAGCACAAGTTGCGAGCAATAACTTTTGAGAGTTTTACTTCAAATTTAAAAGTTTTGTTGAATATTTGTTCTTTTTTTTTTTTTTTTAAACATATGTTTTAGTTATAGTTCTTATTTTTCAGCTGAAGTGTAGCTCTCATTTTAATATATTTTTATATATATATTAGAATATATTCGTATATATAACAAATTTTTTTAATTAATAGGTAAAAATAAAAGATAAAATAATTTAAATAGCTTAGGCAAATTTATTAAATAAAAGTGCTTAACTCTTTTTTGATTCAAATGAAACAATTTTAAATTACATGAAAAAAAAGTTTTGTATTTTAGTTTATATTATTATAATTTTTGTTTATTAATAATGATTGACTATAAAATTTTGAAATTTTGAAAGACCAGTAGAATTTTTATTTGATATGTGAAGTAGTGTGGCGAAATAACTAAAGTTTCTTATAATAATATCAGCAATAATTACAATACTTTGGCAGCTTTGATTTAGGATTTACAATAAATTCATTTATTACAGCTAAAAGAATTCGGCTAATGAAAATTATTTGCTTTTTGTTTAGCCTAAACATTTCAATTCAAATAAAATAAAATAAAATTGTTAATATTTTTGTTAGTGAATATATTTTTTTTTTATACATTAATAAACCAAAATTTTTTACTTTAATAAAATAAAATTTCTATTTGAATAATCTTGACAGTAACAAAAATTGATCTTTGTTTTTAGTTCTTTTTTAAAATAATGTATTAATTTTTACTTTCTTCTACATTTTTTTTGTTCTAAATTTTTTAAATAAATAAGTTGAAAATAAATTGCAATTTGTTGCGAAGTGTTTATTCCGTTTTGTAGGACAACATTTAATGAAAGTGTGTGATAATAGCCGACTTTACAAAGCGGCCTTAATGCCGCTCGCTACTTCGCCTCACCAACGACTTTTCTATATTTATTTAATTCATTTGCATTTGGCCAGCTTTAGCCGTAAAAGTTGTCAAATGCGCCTTCATTCATTTACTTTGTTCACTCATTTAGTTATTGCTCTCTTTCTCTTGCTGTACGTGAGTGTATGACTGTGCGCTTGTGTGTGTGCGTGTGTTTTTGTGTGTGTGTGTGTGTGCCCAACATTATGCAAATTAGTTTGTTTGTTTGCTGGCCGCATTGCGTTTTTCCATGCGCCTAATGAATAAAGCATAGCGAAATTATTGTATGGAATTCAATTAGCATGTTTTTCCATCAGCCTACCTCCCCGCCACCAACACCTCATCCTATGCTATCCTCTATACTAACACACATCCACAAAAAGTGCAAAGTTTTTGTTGTTTTTCTTTTTTTACTGTTACGATGAACGAAATTAGCTACTAAATAAATTATGCGTGTAATTTGGCAGCGAATAAGTTTTTAAGTGCTTGCCAATGCTGAAAATTGTAATTAGAGAAATCCTGCCCAAAGTGTTTTCACATAAATCTCTACAATAATTCTTTCATCAAACAATTAAAAATGTGCAGGGATTTTGTTAATAAGATATAAAAATAGAAAAAAAAATAAAAAATAAATAAAATTAATTAAACGGAATTAGAGCAGAAAATTAAAAGCTAAAATGTGATCTTTAGTAAATTTTATTGAAATTTTATGAAAGTATTAGTTATATGCAAAGAGCCGAAATATTTAATCATATAAAATTGCGCTAAGAGTAGATAATCGATTTTAATTCAGCTTAGAGTGGATAATAATTGATAAATATTTCAAAATGTAAATATATAAAATGTAAATATATAAAGTGATCTAAAATCGAATTTTTGTACATATGTATATAATATTTAGTTAGTAAATTAAAATTTCTATCTGAATTTCTACAAGATTGTATATATATTTTATTCACAAATTTTTTTTTTTTATAATTAGAAGACTATTTTGAACATCAGTTAACAATTATTAATAAACACTCTTAATCCTTGTTTTAATTATATATAGTTTTATTTATTATTATATATTATATTAGTTGCAAGTTGTTTTTGTATAGGTTTTTTATATACATTTTACCCTCTCGTGCCTTTGCTATATATTTTCACAAATTTATTTCCAGTTTTTTTATGTTTATGTCTAAAAATAAAAATAATTACATATTAATTTTAATTGTTTCTTCAATTATTCATTTATCACATACCAAAATTTTATTTAAAAAATGAGTGCTCCATATTAACAAATGATGACAAGTTTATATTATTATCAAGTAATTTTTTCATTCATATCAAATTTTTCTATTTCTCTAATTTTATTAAGGGATAAATGTAAGAAGCGCTTTCAAAAACATTTCGAAATTGTTATAAGAAACTTTTTTGTCGTCTTTTAAGAGAACTTACTTTATTTTATTAAAATCCCTTAGCTTCCCTGATTCACACTTAATATAAAGTTAGAAGAGGTCTTACAGAGCAAATAGTAATAAAAGTTGCCTGGCTCTCACATATTCCCATTTATGCTCAAGCATTTAAATAGCTTAAAGATCTATGAAATTTAGCAAATGCCACTTTCACAATTTTCCATTTCTTAGATGAACTCTTTGCTCTATTCCTTGGTATTTGCCAGCTACACTTTTTCATTTGTCGCCGTAAAATGTAATGAAATGTGGTCAAAGACAACTCAGCCCCAACTCCACTCAACTCAGGGGCTGTTAGCCTTGCAACCCTCCAGCAGAAGAAGTTCAATGCAACTTTCGATTTTGCAGCAATTGCTTCGACGGCAGCTGAAACATTAAATATTCCCCTCTCTCAGTGTTGCAGTTGCAGCTGGCAGTAAAAGTGCAACTTTGTCGGCTTGCAGTCAGTTTTTGAGGGGTGGAGAGTTAACGGTAAAGTTGTGAGTGGGGGCTGGTTTATAGGGGCTGCGGTTGAGGTTTGCTCTAAATATGCAAAATTCTCTGCTCTCTTTTCTTGGCGCTCTGCTGTTAACCTTGGCTGCAGTTACCGGTAATACTACATCTGTGTGTGTGAGCTAGTTGTGGTTACAAACACACAGACACACCTATATCCATACTCACACGTAGCTGATCTGCAGGCGTTAGCCTTTTGCCTAGCTGCATTGTTTTAGAGGCCACAGCAGCTGTTGTAATCCACTCTATGTCCCATGCAGGCACATACACTTGCACATATACTCGCGCACACCCACACACACACCGCCGTCCCTTTACAGATTTTTCAAGTGTGGCGCTGGACTCGCAGATTCCGAACTCTGCGCGTTATGCAAAACTAACTTTTTCCATTATTTTGCCGCGTACCGCCGCAGCCGCCGCCATCGCTGACTGCAGCAGTTGCAGTTACTGCTGCTGCTGCCGCGGCTGCTGCTGCTCTTGCTGCTGCTGCCGTTGCTTGTGGTTTTTATTTATGGTCTATTTTTGTTTTCCCTTTTTTTTTTTTTTTTCGTTCTACCCTGTAACCATTATGTAAAGGCTGACAAAGCGTGTGTTAAAGTAAAGTTAG